AGCTTATTTTTCTTTGAAAAAAGTGTGACCTTCCACTAAGCGTTTCTGCCTTCCCTTTTCACTCGTGATGAACTGAAGGGCCATGACGGTTAATGAAGATTCGTAACTGAAGTATCACACTCGAAGAACTTTTCGAAACTGACCTCTTCTGAATTTTTTGAAGCCTTATATAAGGATGAGGCATGATAATTATTGTGCTCATTAATAAAGCTTTCAGATATGCTATTTCTGTATAAATGCGTTAGATAAGATTTATTTTTGTGTGAGTAGATAATATTATGGTAATTATTCTGTTCATTGGCATAATCTTTCAAATATATTATTTCTAAATAATACTGTTTCATGATCATCATAAATAAATCATCGGCGATCAATTACAGAATCATTGAATCTTCAATTCGACGAATTGCTGGTTGGTGAATTTTCCAGTAGGTGAATTTTCCTCTCGGTGAATTTTCCAGTCGGTGAATTGTTGTCGGTGAACTTTCCGTCGATGAACTTTTCGTCGGTGAATTGCAGTCGGTGAACTCTCCGGATACCATATTTTAGGTTCTCTCTATTTATGTATGTGATTCTGTACTCACTGTTGCTCTATATTTATCTGTTTTCATGCATCATGCAGTTGGAAAATGGATTTTTGCTATTTGCCATAGTGTAAACATGACTTTTCTTCATTTCGCTTGACTAACGAAGCCATAATATCCGCGGATTACTCAAATAAACTAAATTTTGCTCTTCAAATGAAGTTTCAAAGAAATCTAAGCACTGCCTTTTTGGATTTGAAGCTTACAACGTTAGTTTATTTAAACACATCTGTTCATATTTTATTTAAATAGTTCAGTTCAGATGAATGGAGTGCAAAGCTATTGTTGCATCCGGAGCAGGAAATGTTAGTGGTAAGCCACCCAGGGGAACGGCCAAACAAGGTACAAGTTGTCCTCCCACCTTTGGATGACGAATTTTGTTTTCCTCAGGGCTGCAACTTTTTTGTTATGCAAATTCGAAACGATATGTTTATGACAGATAATGTTCAAGCAGCGTGCAGTTATCCACAATTTAACTACGAAATAGGAGAGATAATGCTGGACTAATTTCAAACATTTCTTCTTGTCTGTTAATCTTGAATTTTGCTCACTCTATCTTGACTGCTTCCAAAATCTTTTTTACCCGAAGAATTGGAATCTCTTCGGACGATCCTGCTTGCATCCCACTTATTACGTGGATTTTAATGCATATTTGTAGGCTTAAATCTAATAAAAGCGGTAGATAAATTAACTTGAAACATTTTTAGAAGGACATTTGCTACTTTGAAAAGTGTAATAGTAAGTTTAAAAATAGGGTTATCAGATCCATTCCATTATCATTGAAAATAATTCTTAAAATTTGCAACTCTGATTAAAAAAATGCAAACTAAGTATAAAGGTTGCTCTTATTTTTGTGGCGATCGTGATAAATTTTAACATTAGTGAGAGGCCAGAGGCAGACCTTTGATTCGATTCATACTAGACCTACGAAATAGGACTTAGTAAACGATGGTAAGCGATATTATTTTTGTTTTGTAAATTGGTGTTGCGCTTGCTTGGAATAGTGGGAACAAATCTAAAGCCTTAATAAATAAAGCTGTAGCTAATCATATGGTTGTATTCAGTAGTGTGGTCTACGGTTGTAGTAAACTGGTTGATAGCTGGCTGGTCCAGAACGCTGTTTTTGGAGCTTGCTTCCATTATTTATTTTCGCAATACTGCCTTAGTGGAAGAGTTGAAAAGCAATGCTTACAACTAAGCAGACTATTACTATATAAATCACATTAACATATAATGGAAGATATTAATTTAGATATAAATGGTGGACAGTTCTTACATGAAACGTCTGAGTCTTCGTTGAAGATACAAATTAAAAATGAAAACGTAAAATCGCATGCCAATGCAAGGCGCCGTGAAGTATTTACCCTTGAATACCGAAGCTGTTTTGAATAATAATTTGGGATCTCTATAAGATCACCAGACGAGGCAACGGGTACTGGCATCAAAGAAGCTACTAAATTTTTTTATATAAGTTGTGTCCAATAAAACATAAATCTTCGGACGACAGACACAAAATTGTTAGGTATTGACACTAACTGCATCTTTTTCAAAGAAAGTATCATAATATCACATATTCTGTGAATAGGAGCCAGACGAATTGGATAGAATCGATGTGATCACTCGCATATATTTATTAATTGTAAACAGGGTTAAAACGGTAGTAGATTTTTAACAGACATGCGCATTAAAATGCACAGCTACCGTATTTACAGCGGTAACGTGATGAAGTTCTATATTCCGAATGACGAATACACCGTTTTATGAACTTATTTTTTGCTTTTTTAGACCATTAAAAATACGATGATTCTGTTGAAGAACGATTATTGCAGTGTGCAAAAAGATAGGAAGCGTTCTTCCGTTCAAAATTTGAATATGCTTATATTATTTTTCTATATTAGCATAAATTTTGAAAATCGATACTTTCGCACTGTATATGTCAGGTTCCAGCGTAAGCGTTTTGTTGCAAAACATTACTGCGCATTTCGCTGTTCTTCTGGCTTTCGCAGCAGCTGCTTTGCCTGTTCGATGGGAAACCGAAGTTTGAGG